CTTAGTTCTCGGCGGACACAACATCTTTGTTGGTATGAAAGCCCTATTTTTTTAAAAAATTTGTTTTTGAGACAGGGTCTCACTAAGTTGCTGTATCTGGTATCAGACTTGTGATCCTCCTGCCTTAGCATCTCCAGTAGCTGGGATTACAGGCATAGATGTGTGCCACCAAGCCCAGCTGAAAACAACGTTATAAAGGAAAAGCAACTAACAATACATCTTTTTTTTTTTTTAAACAATACATCTCGAAGACTGTTCCATGTCAGTACATGGAAAACTCAGAAATTTTCAATTAAACATATTTGTCTTTTGTTTTTACCTATTTCATGAATCCTTTAAATCTGAAAGTTCAAAAAAATCCCCATCAATTGAATAGATTTTCTTTCACTGATTATTATTGCTCTGCCTCAATTATTAATGCCTTTTGGAACTCATATTTAATTTTTGGGACCCATTTTCTAGGTTTTCTATCTTCTCATAGTTGTATTTATTTATTTATTATTTATTTGTATTGGGGATCGAACAGGGGTGCTCTATCACTGAGCTACATCCCCAACCCTTTTATTCTATTTTTTATTTTGAGACAGTCTAAATTGTTCAGGTTGGCCTTGAACTTTTGATCTTTACACCTTAGCCTCTCTAGTCACTAGGATTACAGGCATGTGCAACCATACTGGATTCAGTTTTATATATATTATCTCTCTTTTTTTAAAGGTTTATCTATTTATTTATTTATTTTTTAAAGAGAGAGAGAATTTTAATATTTATTTTCTAGTTTTTGGCAGACACAACATCTTTGTTTGCATGTGGTGCTGAGGATTGAACCGGGGCTGCACGCATGCCAGGCGAGCACACTGCTGCTTGAGCCACATCCCCAGCCCCTATATATATTATCTTTACTTTCTTGAGTTCTGGTAAATTTTCTTGAGTTTTTTAAATTTTTTTTTTTAGTTATACATGGACACAATATTTTGTGTATTTATTTTTATGTAGTGTTAAGGATGGAACCCAGTGTGTCACATGTGCAAGGCAAGTGCTCTGCCACTGGGCCACAACCTGGGCCCATTGAGTTGGTTTTGTTAAGCAAACATTTGCTAATTTCTTTTGCTGGCAGGGAATCCAGCCAGCTGAAATCCAGGCAAATTTCTTGGCTTGTCTGCCAATAAAAACTTTTGGCATATCCAACCTGCAGTTCAGTGACACTGTTGCATAAAATTCGTCATCTTGTTTGTCCTAATAAAGGTTTCTTGTTTCAAATTATTTTTCTTTCTTTTTTTTTTTTTTAAATGACGGGGGCTAGGGATATAGCTCAGTGGTAAAGCACTCGCCTCCAAAGTTGTTGGGATTACATGCAAGTGCCACCAAGGCCAGCTGAATTGTTGAATCTTATCACATATTTATTAACTTTATCTTCTTAGGCTTCACATTTTGATGGTGAAGTGTCTGTCACATAATAGGAATTTAATGAGTTCTGTCAGGATGTTCAAATCTTTTAGGCTCCGACTATGGAATAATTGGTAACTTATTATTTTGAGAGTTTAGGGTCCAATGGACTGTGTGGGAATAAGAAGGAGCAACTTGTGGAGGTAAGCAGCCTTGGGAGGAGGGAGTTCCCCACACAACAACAGGTTCATGGTCAAAAGGTTAGTACCAGTCTTCTGGTCTAGTTAAATTTTAAAAATGGAAAAACAACAACAACAAAATCAACCTGGGATCTAAAGAAGTGATTTTTTTCTTCCCAAGAATCCCTATCGACATAGAAATTCCCAAATCGAATTTTGGGAGTTTTATTTTTTTAAACAATGATTTTTTTTTTTTTTTAAAGAGAGAGTGAGAGAGGAGAGAGAGAGAGAGAATTTTTAATATTTATTTTTTAGTTCTCGGGGATATAGCTTAGTTGGTAGAGTGCTTGCTTGCCTTGCATGCACAAGGCCTGGGTTCAATCCCCGGTACCCCCCCTCCCCCACAAAATATATAAATAAATAAAGTAAGGATGTTTGGGATGTAGTTTTGGCATAAAGAAAAAGGCTGATATACAGTAGCAACAGTTATGACACCCTAGACAATTTATTTCTTCAGTTGTCTGGGATTCAGTTTCCTTATGTTAAAAATGGGCAAAATCATTACTATTCTTATCTTTTTTTTTTTCCTTTCTGGTACTGGGGATTGAATTCAGTGGCACTCGACCCACTGAGCCACATCCCCAGCCCTATTTTGTATTTTATTTAGAGACAGGGTCTCATTGAATTGTTTAGCGCCTCGCTATTTTTGAGGCTGGCTTTGAACTCGCCATCCTCCTGCTTCAGTCTCCCAAGCTGCTGGGATTACAGGCGTGCGCCACCGCCCCGGCAACTGCTCTTATCTTTAAGGCCCCCAAACAAATGCGTGGGGTACAGTCCAGGCCTGTGACGGGAGACTCTGGACTAAGATGATGGGAGAAGGCCGAATTGTGGGGTATCTCCGACCACCCGAGCCCCAGACCAGCACCAATGTCCTCAGTGGCCACCATAGCAGCACTGGCAGCCACCGCCGCGAACGCTAACCTGGCCTGCCTAAGCCAGGCCACGCCACTCCTCACCTCACCTCACCGCCGCAGAGCCTTCACCTCCAGCCTCAGCACACCTTCCCCCGACTACACCTCTGCGCACGCGCAGCGCCCGCCTCTCTAGCTTTGGCTTGTTTTAAGGCACTGCCCCTTTCGAACGCGCGTTGAGCGCTTTTCCTCCCAGTGCGGCCACCGTCGTTAAGGAGGACAGGCGGGAGGGGGCGGGGAAAAGGGTGGGAGTGGGTGAGCGCGCGCCGCCGGTCCGTCGTGGTTTCCTGGCTGCTCGCGGCGGTGGCGGAGTCGCTGCAGCTGTAGCAGCAGCCGCGAAGATGGCGGAGGGGTTGGAGCGTGTACGGATCTCCGCGTCGGAGCTGCGAGGGATCTTGGCCACTCTGGCTCCGCAGGCCGGGAGCAGAGGTGAGTCGCACCGCCCAGCTCCTGGGCCGGGCCTGCCCGCCCCGCCTCCCTCGCCTCCTCTTCCTCCTCCCCGCCCAGTCCGTGGAGCTCGGGAGCCCCCGCCCCTTCCCCCAACAGTGGGGGCGGGGGCCGCGGGCGGGCCCCTGGCTTCCCTGCCAGCCTCACGGTCGGGCTCCATCAGCTCTGGCCAGCTCTGGGAGAGTCCAGTCAGAGTTCCTGCCTCCACCCTCTTTCTCACCACGAAGGTGACTGTTTCCTTTTGCCCCAGCTCCCTCAGATGAGCCGGTGGATTCCTAGTTGTCAGGATACGCGAATAGGAGTGGGTGCTGAGGTCTGGTGGAGGCCCCGGTGTGTAGCGTTCCCGAAAGAATCCTTGGCTGGCTTGTCCTCTCCATCTGCTTGGCGTCGGAGGGAAGGAGTTGGGGAAATTGAGGGGAAAGGTTTAAACACACTGAGACTTTTCTGCTGAACTTTTCTTCCCTAGGCAAGCTTCTGAAAGCTGCGAGGGATCCAGGACCTCGCAGAGAGCAGAGTTGATTCTGTTCTGGTTTGGCCTTGGCTTGTGTGGGAGCAGTTTTTATCAGAGAGAATGTTCAAAAATACCAGTTAATTTGAAGTCTCTAGCCACATCAGAAAAGCTCCAAGCAATGTTCTTGTGTCTCTGTTGGGCGGTGGAATTTTGTAGGGTGGTAGCTGGGTTAGATACCTTTTCAAGGCTTGGTTTTCGTTTGTCAGTTGAATTGGTTTATCCATGCTGTTTTCTCCCTCTGTTCTGGAAAGTAGCAGTAACTCCTTTCCCTTTCCCTCATCCCTACCTAAGTTACAAAGATGACTGAGTGTTCTGTGATACCTTTGTTCATACTCGATGGAGAATCTTTAAATTTCTGAAAATATCAGCTGGTTAATAAAAAAAAAAAAAAATCAGCTGGTTGAGCACGGATTGCATACCTGTAATCCCAGTGACTCTGGAGTCTGAGGGAAGAGGACACAATTCCAGGCCAGTCTCAGCAACTTAGCCAGATCCTGTTTCATAATAAAAAATAAAGAGGACTGGGGATGGAGTTTAGTGGTAAAGTCCCTGGGTTCAGTTCAATCCCCAGTACCAAAATAAATAAATAAACTTTTGAAAATACCAAAGTGGTATCATAAACTTAAGTTTCTTTTTTCTATTTTGTTAAATTCATAAAAGTAGGTGTAAATGCTTGAATATATGATGTCTGTTATGATCTTGTTTGCATTTTTGTTTCTAGTACAAGACAAGACTAGGATTTTACATAACATTCCATTTTAAGTACTTGATAATCTCACTAATTCAGTCACTTTTCCACTGAAATGTTTAGTGGCTATTTGCAATAGTCTCCCCCCCCCTTTTTTTTAAAGAGAGTGAGAGAGGGAGAGAGAGAAAAAGAGAGAATTTTAATATTTATTTTTTAGTTCTCGGCGGACAAAATATCTTTGTTTGTATGTGGTGCTGAGAATCGAACCCGGGCCGCACGCATGCCAGGCGAGCGCGCTACCACTTGAGCTACCACTTTCATCCCCAGCCCCTAGTCTCCCCCTTAATAAATAAAAGTAACAGACACTAAAAAAAATACTTGTTTATCTGTCTGTTTAGAAAATTCATGAAGTCTGGAGAGTAATTTTTAAAGTCCCATATTCTTATTTTTTTTCTTTTGGTACTGGGTGTTGAACCCAGGGTGCTTTACTACTGAGCTACATTCCAGTCCTTTTCATTTATTTTGATACAGGGGCTCCCTAAATTGCTGAGGCTGGCCTTGAATTTGCTATTCTCTTGCCTCAGTTTCCTGAGTAATGGGATTGTAGGTGTGTGCTGCTGTGCCTACCTCTGTTCTCTTATTTTATTAAAAAAATTTTTTTTAGTTGTAGATAGACACTATTGTTTTTATGTGGACCTGAGAATCAAACCCAGTGCCTTACATGTGCTAGGTGAGTGCTCTGCCACTGAGCCACAACTCCAGCCCTGTTTTCTTATTCTTGAATGCCACAGTCCTTGATATTTTGAGAGCATGTCACAATCCTTCTCCCTGTGTCCAGGGAAGCTCTTCTATGGAACTTTTTCTTCTCATATTCCATCATCATAGTAGCAGTTAGTCTCCGTATTCTAATGATGATAGTTTGAGCAGTATTTTCTTGAAATGACTCTTCTGGCTGCTGTTAGAGAGTTGGTGAGGATAAGTCAAGTTGAAGACTATAAAGGGAACTGCTTCTTGTTTGTTTCAGTAGAAGGTATGTGAAGGTAATTGGTATGCTAAAGTAAAAGATCCTAGTCAAGTTCACAGACTTGAGTTGCAATTATTTTTTCTCCAGAGATGTTCAGGACTGTGAACTGTTGTATATTACTCCTTTTCTCCTTTTTATTTTTCTCTACTAAAATGTGTTTTTAAATTGTTTTCTGGGGGGAATAAAACCCGGGGCTTTACTCTTCACATAGGCTAGGCAAGTGCTGTATTACTAAATTATACTCCTATTTCTCTACTAATAAATTAAAAGTACTTAGCTACCCTGGAAAAATATCAGAGGCAGAAGAAAAGACTGATAGTTTCAAGGGCTCTATAAACACAATAGTTTAATGCTGAAATTATTAAGAGATCTTCTGTTCTAATAATATGAGGTAATTTGGGGTCTTAGAAATCTGAATATGAATATGTCTTGGGCAATCCAAGAAGATACAAGTTTTTTTTCCTTCCCACTTCCTAACCCAGTTCAATTCTTACCCTTGGCAGTTGCTGAACAAATATTGTAAACCCCAAATTTCTGCTTTTGCAGAAGTATTCTTCCCTGTCCGCCAAAATTAGCATTTGGAGATATGTATGCTTGCTCAATTTTTCTGTTAGTTAATCGGAATGACAGTTTTCCCTCTCCCTCCTCCTTTATTCTTTTCTTTTGCCTTTTCTTCTTCAACCCTTTCCCCAAAATAACAGAAAACATGAAGGAATTAAAGGAGCCCAGGCAGCGCAAAGATAACAGGCGCCCAGATCTGGAAATCTATAAGCCTGGTCTTTCCCGACTAAGGAACAGACCTAAAATCAAGGAGCCCTCTGGGAGTGAGGAATTTAAAGATGAAATTGTTAATGATAAAAATGCTTGTGCTGTTGGAAATGGTACACAGCTCATTAAAGATGTCTGCAAGGAACTGGATAACCACCAGCAAAATGGTCCTGTAGACCCAGAAAATAATCAAGGACAGGAGACTTTTCCTAGGACTGCTGGGCAAGAAGATCGAAGTCTAAGAATCATCAAGAGAACAAAGAAACCAGATTTGCAGATCTATCAGCCTGGTAGGCGTTTGCAGACTGGTATCAAAGATTCTGCTAGCCGGGTGGATGAGGAGGAAATCCTCAACCAGGTAGAACAGCTGAAAATAGAGGAAGATGAATGTAGGGGAAAAGTTGTGAAAGAGGAAGTTGTGAATAAATCAGATAAAGCTGAGACAGAAAAGAGCCAAAATAGTGACAGAGTAAGGACTGCAAAAGGAGAAAAAGGAAAAAGGATTGAAAAAGGGGAGGGGACAAAGAAACTGAATGATGACCTGGCCCAGGGGAAGCCTGGTTCTGCAAAGCGCTATTCCCGCTCAGACAAACGGAGGAACCGCTATCGCACTTGCAGTACCAGCTCAGCTGGTAGCAACAATAGTACTGAGGGAGTTGGCCTGACTGATAATGGATGTCGCCGTCGCCGCCAGGATAGGACCAAGGAAAGGCCACGACTGAAGAAACAAGTATCTATGTCCTCAACTGATTCTTTAGATGAGGATAGAATTGATGAGCCTGAAGGATTGGGGCCCAGGAGGAGCTCAGAAAAGAAGACACACTTAGAAAGAAACTGGTCTGGCCGTGGGGAGGGTGAACAGAAAAGCAATGGTAAAGAAAATCGAGGCACACTTCGTGTAACTTTTGATGCAGAAACCATGAACAAAGATTTCCCCGTGATGAGATCAGCCAGGGAGGATGTGGATAAGATAAAACCTGACAGAGGTTTGAGCAGTGGGGGCAAAGGCTCTGAGAAGCAGGATTCCAAAAACATGAAACAAGAACTTCGGGGTCGTGGTCGTGGCATTTTGATCCTGCCTGCCCATACTGCCCTATCTGTCAATTCAGCAGGTTCTCCAGAGTCTACGCCTTTAGGACCTCGACTTTTATTTGGATCTGGTAGTAAAGGTTCTCGGAGTTGGGGCCGTGGAGGCACCACCCGCCGACTATGGGACCCAAATAATCCTGATCAGAAACCTGCTCTAAAGAACCAGACACCCCAGTTACATTTCTTAGACACTGATGATGAAGTCAGCCCTACATCATGGGACTCACGCCAGGCCCAGGCATCTTACTATAAGTTTCAAAACTCTGACAATCCCTATTATTACCCCCGGACACCAGGCCCTGCCTCTCAGTATCCCTATACAGGGTATAGCCCTCTGCAGTACCCAGTAGGCCCTACAAATGGTGTGTACCCAGGGCCTTACTACCCAGGCTACCCGACTCCTTCAGGACAGTATGTATGTAGCCCTCTCCCTGCCAGTACCATGAGTCCTGAAGAGATAGAGCAGCATGTGAGGAACATGCAGCAGCAGGAGCTACATAGGCTTCTCCGGGTAGCTGACAACCAGGAACTACAGCTCAGCAACCTGCTTTCCAGGGATCGCATCAGTACTGAGGGCATGGAGAAGATGGCTCAGCTCAGGTATGGTATATTCTTGGCTAAAGGGAAATGGGGGTAAGTTGGAGTTATATAGG